AACAAACTGGGAGTGGGGGATGATGGACAGGGAGAGAATAGTGCAACAATGAATGAGTGGAAGCCCAAAATCTCTGTAAATGTTTATGAAAATTAATAAAATATAATTAAAAAAAAAACAGAGAGTACCAAAAGAAAGCTTACTTGTGTTTTATTGGCTATGCAAAGATATTTGCTAGTGTGAATCGCAACTACTTATGGCAGAATTGAGAAGGAGAATTCCAGAACACTTGATAATGCTTATGCAAAACCTATACTTAGATCAGGAAGCAGTCTAAATCATAGGAACAGAGCAAAGAAACACAGCATGGTTCAAAACCAAGAAAGGAGTATGTCAGGGATGTGTCTTTCCTCCAAACCTTTTCAATTTCAATGCAGATCATTTGGGAGGCTGGATTCCAGGAAGAAGAATGTAGCATCAGGATTCAAGGAAGGCTTATCAATAAAGTGCATTATATAGATGACAAAAACTTGCTTTCCGGAACTGAAGACTTGAAGCATTTGCTGTAGGTCAAGGACTGCAGCCTTCAATATCAACTGCATCTTAACATCAAGAAAACAAAGAATCTCATCACCAGGCAGCATCATGATAGATGAAGAAGAGTTTGAGGTGGTTAACAATTTCTTCTTGTTCCATAACTAACACTCTTGGCACTAGCAATCAGGAAATTAAAAGACAAGTTGCTTTTGGGAAGTCTGCTGTCAGGAACTTCTCCAGATACTAAGGAGCAACAATGTCAGTCTAGAGACTAAGGTGCACCTGATTCAAGCCATGATCTTTGCAATTAGTTGATATGCATCTGAGAACTGAACAATGACTAAGTATTACAGAAGAAGAATCATTGTCTTTGAGTTTTGGTGTTGGAGAAGGATAATGGACATACCATGGACTGCCAAGAGAACTAACAACTATTTCTTGAAGAGAGTGAAGCCAGGCTGCTCCTTAGAGGCAAGGATTTTGAGGATCTGTCTCACATGCTTTGGGCATGTTGCTAAGAGGGACCAACCCTTGGAGAAGAACATCATGCTGTGTAGGGTAGATGGTCAGTGCAGGAGCGGAAGACCCTGAATGAGATACATAGACACAGTGCCTATGGCAAGGGAGGCAGGTGTGTCAGAGATGGCAAGAATGGCTCAAGATATAACAAGGTTCAGAGCTATTCTTCATAGTTTGCTATGAGTTGTAGTTGACTCAACAGAACAAAACAACGTAACAACAATGTTAAGATTTTTTTCTTGACATTGAGATGCAATTTATGCTGAAAGCTGTGGTCTTTACTTTTCAGTAAGAGCTTCAAGTCTTTTTCTGCAAGCAATTCTATGTTATTTGCATAATGAATGTTGTTGATGACACTTTCTCCAATGAAGACTCCATAGTATTCTTCATGTAGTAGTCTAGCTTCTCAAATTTTTGCTCAGTATATAGATTGAATGAAGAGAGGATACATCTCAACATAAAAAAAAACCCAGTAACATCTCAGAATCAAGAAAACAACTTTTCACAACTAGAATAGACAATATCATGATGTTGTTGTTGTTGTTGTTATGTGCCGTCGAGTC